AATACGGGGTGCCATAGAATAAACCCAGCTCAATTCCTGGGATAATCAATTTTACACAAATATTTTTGCATAGCGACTGACCTACTAAACGAAACATTTTCATCTACTGGCATGTGCTGGGGACACTCTCAAGTGAGAGAATCCGTGTTTCACAAATGCTGAAGTCCCACTGACATGACGAGGGCATGATAATTATAATGACAGCTACCATACTTACTGAGCACTTAAGATACGCTAGATTTTGTGATTGGAGCTGTAACATACATTCTCTCGCTTAGTCCTCGCAGCACTACCAGGCACTAGAAATAATATAATTGTTTACTACATGGAGGAGGAAACTAAGGTGAAAAAAAGGTTTCCATGTTCATCCAGCTGGTAAAGAGCAAAGTCTGTGTTTGGTCCCAGGGCTGTCTGGCTCCAATGCCTCTGATCTTAATTGCTGCCTCAGAAATCGGAATCTGAGGCCCAATCAGTCTTCAAAAGGAAGATCCTTAAGCAAGACACGTATCTTTCTTCCTGTCCCTAAAGCTTTCCCAGTTATGGACTCAGAACAACACCTTCCCTTTCTTCATCGTAACGAGGATCCAGAGGCTCCCGGATACACATGCTCACAGCACCCTATTTTAGAGCTGAAAAGAACCTTAGTCACACAGAACACCTGTACATGAATGTTTATAGTAGCCGACAAGTGGAAACAACCTAAATGTTCACCAAATAATGAGTGGATAAACAAACTGTGTTATCTCCGCGCAGTGGAATACTCTTCAGCTACAAAAATAAAGCACTAATGCCTGCTACGATGTGGATGAGCCTCGGAAACACTGGGCTAAGTAAGGGCAAGAAGCCAGTCACCAAGGGTCACATATGAAATGTGTGGAGTAGGCAAATCCACAGACAGAGATTAGTGGTTGTCAGGCCATGGAGTAGTCGGTTAGGAAGACTCGGGGAGTGGCTGCTGATAGGTACAGGTTTGTTTGAGGGGGGAGAGGTAAGATAGCCTATAATTAGATAGTGGAGCTGGTAGCACAACTCTGTAAATATACTAAAAACTACGGAATTGTACACTTTTAAAAAGTAAATGTTATGGTCTGTGAATTATATCTTAATAAAACTATTATTAAAAGACATAACAGCCCAGCCAGCGTGGCTCAGTAGTTGAGCTTCGACCTAAGAACCAGGAGGTCACAGTTCAATTCCTGGCAAGGCACATGCCTGGTTGTGGGATGATCCCCAATGTGCAGGGGTGTGCAGGAGGCAGTTAATCAATGATTCTCTCTCATCACTGATGTTTCTATCTCTCTCTCCCTCTCCTTTACTCTCTGAAATCAATAAAAAACATATTTAAAAACAAACAAACAAACAAACAAACAATTGCCTTGAAAGACACAGCAGTAAAGGAAATATATTTAAAAATGCTTTGGACAAAAGCACCACAGAAATATTGTACTGCACTGTAGACGTTATACATTTCATGCTTATAAAAGCACATTATGTACACTGCAAGGAAAGTATGGCCTTCTATTCTGCTGGTTGCTTTCTTGTCCTAGGAGAATCTTAATTCACTTCAAAGTACTGCTCGAGTCCTCAAGTTCCTGAATACCCAGTTATAAAATAAAAATGTAATGCACTCTAAACTGGCTGCTGATGGAAAGAAACCCCAGGGAATTGTCCTGCTTAAAAAGAGAAAGGGGAAAAAAGGCCGCTAAACTCACCAAGGGCCTACATTCAAGGCCAGAGAGGATACAAAGAATCTAGATCGAGTGGAAATGATATCCTCCTACAATCTTTTGGGAGCTGCTTATCAGGAATTTCTACAGAGAAATTAGGCAAAGGAACCTCAACTATAAAGGCACTGCTTAAATAAAAGAACCATCCACACCGACACAAATCCTTATCTTCTCATACGACTTAACGTAAACACTTTCTCTTAGTCTCACGTCAGCAGTACGTACGGTACTTGCATGCAGCACATGTTTTCCCCCCATTTTAAGGACAAGGAAAGTGAGGCACCAAGAAGGTCGCCTGCTAATGAGAAGCATCTGCATTCCCAGCTCTGGGCTCTTTCCTATGTCATGCTCATGTTTGTTTTCTCACTTCCTCTGCTTGGCCACCCAGAGTTCTTTCAGAACGTGAATTTAGCCTCAAGAAATAATTTCCCCTTTCATTGTTCTGGCTGATTGTGTTCCTTTCATAAGTCTCCATAAGAAACACTTGCTCAGAATCAGCGTGAAATAAATGTTTTTGAACAAACAAATCAATGTGGCTAGGCCTACCTGGTTAGTTTAACCTTTCATGAATAACAAAGACTCAAAAACCTGTATAAAGTCTCACAAGGTTAGAGATTCCCTCCCCAGATGCTAAAAATGGTTTTAGAACTGAGTCAGTTTAGAACTGAGTTAATGAGCTGGCCCTGTAAATGACTTTTTTTTTTTAATTAAATATATTTTATTGATTTTTTTACAGAGAGGAAGAGAGAAGGATAGAGATTTAGAAACATCGATGAGAGAATCATTGATCAGCTGCCTCTTGCACCCCTCCCACTGGGGATGTGCCCGCAACCAAGGTACATGCCCCTGATGAGAATCGAACCTGGGACCTTTCAGTCTGCAGGCCGACACTCTATCCACTGAGCCAAACAAATTTCAGCTGTAAATGACTTCTTGAAGAACTATCAAACTCTTCCTTTCCAGCCAATCAAATGGTGACTGGATTCCTAGACAGGAAACTTGCAGGTAAGACCTTTAGATCTATTGCTTGAATTCTCACCTACATTCTTTTTACTTTTCTTTTTTTTTTTTTTTTTTTTTTTTACATGTGACGGTGGTTTATTCCCTTTTAACTAAAAGTCAGGAAGTAGGTGTGCAGTTCAGGCTGATGAGGGCTTTATTCTTTTTTTCTTTCTTTTTTTAAAAAATATATTTTATTGATTTTGTACAGAGAGGAAGGAAGATAGTTAGAAACATCGATGAGAGAGAGTCATCAATCAGTTGCCTCTTGCACACCCCCTACTGGGGATATGCCCGCAACCAAGGTATATGCCCTTGACCGGAACCGAACCCGGGACCCTTCAGTCCCCAAGCCGATGCTCTATCCATTGAGCTAAACCGGTTTCGGCCATTGGCTTCATTCTTTTAACTCTCCAAAAACCCAAGCCCCTTCCAGCTCCTCACTCCGCCATCCCAGGCCGCAGCCCTAATCCTCTGGCCCCAAGATGGATGTCTGCATTCCCAGCGACAGGACGGGGCGAGGAAAAAGCAGGACATGCCTCTGCTGACTTTAAGTGACAGTTCCAGGGATACATTTTTAAAATTTAGAGAGAGAGAGAACATTGATTTGTTGCTCTACCCATTTATATATTCTTTGCTTGATTCTTACACATGCCCTGGTGCACTGAGAGGACACTCCAATCAACTAAGCCACCTGGCCAGGGCAACCTTTCAGATATTCTGATATGAATGCATCTCTCTCTCTCTCTCTCTCTCTCTCTCTCTCTCTCTCTCTCTCTCTCTCTCTCTCTCTCTTTCTCTCTATTTTTCTGTCTCTCTCTGTCTCTCTCTCTCTTTCTCTCTGTCTCTCTCTCTCTCCTTTTCTTCTTTCTTCCTTCTCTCTCACTTATTCTTCCTTCTCTCTCACCTATTTTCCCTCTCCCTCTCCGTTCCATGCTATCCTTCTTTACTCCCCTTCCTCTTCCTTTCTCTATTATAGCATTTACTTCACACTTCCTTGTGAGGCATGAAGGCTCTCTGAGTACCCTCTGAAAGCAACTGACTAGCGCACTAATCTCATACAGGTGTTAAGCATCCAATTAGTGAAAACACCAAGAATTTATCATATGCTGCTCTAGCCAAGCCTTTCCCAAAGATCTAAGAACCAAAGAGGAACCATGCTCTCATGAGAATATTAGTGCTGCCCTAGTCAGTTTGGCTCAGTGGATAGAGGACTGGCCTGCAGACTAAAGGTTCCCGGGTTCAATTCTGGTCAAGGGCACATGCCTGAGTTGCAGGCTCGGTCCCCAGTAAGGGGTGTGCAGGAGGCAGCCAATCAATGAGTCACTCTCATTATTGATGTTCCTCCCCCCCTTCCCCCCGCCCTTTCTCTCTCTCTTCCTTCCTCTCTGAAATCTATTTAAAATTTTTTAAAAATAATATTACCGCTTACGGATGAGATCAGAGAAGAAGTCCTTTTTTTCTTTTGGTAACTAAAGAGTTAGCAGTTTTCTTTTCAACACACAAGAAGGATTTAAGAACAATAGTAAATGCAGCTCTTAATTCAAAAGTGGGTGGATTTAGAGACCAGGGCATTAACAACATTCCTGCATTTGTTAAAAAGGTATGTTCTATATTTAAATTAGATTTCCACCTATCCAGCCTTCCAACCTTTTCTTTGCAATGATTTTACAGACTTGACCTTGGTTAATTAGTATTTTCATGACACCACCCTATAAATGGTACAAGAATTTTTTTTTTAAAGAATTTGTACTTAGTGTGGAAATAAAGAGAACAAATTTTAAATACAGATACACATACCTCCTTTCATATTTAAATAATACAAAGGAATCTACATTCACAAAGGCAACATCAATAAAAATCATCTGCCCTAGAAAATTTCCCTTTAGTTTGAAGACAGAGGCATTTGATATTTGAACTAAACGCATTAATATAATTTTCCCAGTGACAGGTTTTCTCTAGATAAAGGAATCAGAGACTTTTAGAGCTACAAGGAATGTCAGAAATCATTAGACACAACTCTTTCACTTAAAAAATGAGAAAATCCCCAAGTTAAGTGATTGTTAAAGCCTCAATAGCTGGCCAATGCCTGATTCATAGCACAGCTAAAGTCCTTATAGGTGAAAAATATTCAACTTGTTGATATAACACCAAACGCAACCGAAGTGAGAATTAGTCTTACTTTAAACATGATTGACATGATACAGAAGCTCTATTTCAGCTTTCAAATTCAGTTAAGAATTTTACACCATCGATTCTTAACTTGGGACTCACCCTGCTGAGCTGATCCAGTAATCTTTGGTTCTGTTCCGATAATTCCTGGACAGCCCGTGTTTTTTCTCTGTCTGCTTCCCGTAGGTGAACTTGCTGCCGCTCCAGCTCATCCTGAAGCTGCTTCACGTCACTCTCCAGCTCGGACACGCGCCCTTCCCACTCTCCTTCTCGGTTCTCAAATCGTCTTCTTAGTTCGTGCTTCTCCTGTTCTAAGTGCTGGGTGAAAAGTGAAGATTTAAAACCTGTTAAAAATTCGTTTTTTTCTCTTTGCACACTCTCCTAACATTTTTGTTTGTTTATTGATTTTAGAGGAAAGAGAAATATCGACTCATTGTTCCATTTACTAATGCATTCATTGGTTGAGTCTTGTATGTGCCCTGACTAGGGATGGAACCCACAACCTTGGTGTAGTGGGACCATGCTCTAACCACCTGAGCTACCTGGCCAGGGCCTCGCCTAACTTTTCTTTTTTAGTACAACAAAACACTAGGGAAAAGTTGTCCATTTCACAGCTACAAAAATATCCCCTCCATCCAGAATAGAAAAGGAGTTGGTTTCATAAAGAGAATGCCATTCCTTTTGAAAATACTTAAATTATTATGTTTATTCTTGTCCTTGGGCATGGGGTTCTAGACTTAGGAATTCACTTGAAATTTAGCAAGTTATCTAATTAATTGAACTATACATTTAAACAATTTAAAATGACTACTTAAGAAGGCTTCTGTTGCCTGGAAGAATACCAGACAGAATTTTCAGAAACGGAAAGAACTCCAGAGACCCTTCAGATTTACTATCTTTTCTTACAAATGAGGCAACAGAAGAGGTTAAGTAACGAGCTCAGATCAGTACTAGTAAATGACAGAGCTGGGATTTGTGTCCCAGTCATTTGACTGTTTGGTGCTCTAAATCACCACTCAATAAATATTTGTTGCTATATATAGCACTGTATTTCAAAATCACTAAGGCAAGGTCAGGTGCAGGCCTACTCTAAATCATGGCCTGGTAGCCTTGCACATTTTTTCCTAACCCATTCATTCATTCCTTAGTGCTTACTAGGAGCCAGCCATTGTGCTGGGGATACAGTGATGAACAAAACAGACACGGTTTTTGCCTACATGGAGTTTTTATGCCAGTGAGACGGGCGGATACCTGTAATAAGTGGTGTGTGAAAATGATAAGCAGGAAAAAGTATAAACGATTAGAAGGAGCAGCTTAACAGAAAAACTCTTTTGGATTGAAGGAAATAAGAACATCTTCCTGTTTCTGTGCGATGAGGCAAGTACATTCTCCTACTTGAAAGCATAGCATGTACAAAATAAAGCCAAGTCTATACCTAAAGAATCATATAAATGTAAGTTAAAGCAATGGTCCTCAACTTTCAGTCTCTCAGAAAAGCTCTGATTTAAATGTCCAAAATATACCCACCTGAATCCCAGTTTCAAAGATCGTGATTTAGTTAAGAATGGGATGAGGCCTAGGCATCCATTCATCCATCCATCCACCACCCACCCACCTATCCAAGATCTGATGCACCGAAGGTTGTTATCAAGCGTGAAACTATTTCAACAGGCTAACAGGAGCATCTGAATCTTCTCCTTCAGAGGACTCAGTCATCTCTTCACCTTGGGAAGGGAGGCTCTCAATCTATCCAAGATTTCACCTTTCAAATATTTGTTGGAATGCTTCTTTGGGGAAGCCTTAAGGGCCAGAGTGTAGTTACACAAGAAAATTGGTCCCATTACTTCACATCTGAGATGTGTCTAAAAAAGAGGTGATGGCATTTCATCCTGACATCTATTCACGCCTTACTTTGCTCTGGGTGAGGTGTGTTTCTGAAAGTTGAATTTACCTCTAAAAGATGAAAATTTACCATTACAGAATAGGCCAAATAATGTGCCAAATGATAAAAGCAGTGATCCAAAACTAAATTTCTGAGCGCATTAGTGAAGGCAGTTAATAAATATTGAAATAAATGTACAGCCTCCCAAGTTGATCACTTTAAGGGAACAACTCATTTGTTTATAGCCATGCTAGTATATTTGTTGAAAGTGTCACTTTTTGGTTGTACTTTATGCCGTCTCTGTTTGGAGCATGTGGGAAAAGGAACGACAAGGGAGGGACTTCTACTCATCAGCATGAGAATTCATGCTCTATCGGTGCTTCCCTCATATTGCTAAACGTCCAAAAGGAGAACGTTTTACTCACTGTAGACACTGCAGAAAGATGAAATGCGGAAACAAGTGATAATTACAGTCTTAAAACTAATTCTTGGTTTTATTGAGTTTTTCCAAAATGAAAAATATTGAGCAGACGGCAACAGCAAGCACTCGGTACTCACAGTGTTGCTGAGGCCAGATAAATTAGGCTTGTGTTCTAAAAGAACAGAGAGACTTAAAAATATTCAGCAAGCAGCTGTTAGTGAGCAGCCCAAGCAAGCAACTGAAACAATCCGATCCACTTGAGGGGCGGGGCTGAGGACAGGTGGTGCTGATCAATCTGTCCTCGTGTTTCTTTGGACACGTGACAAAGTTCCTAATTCAAGTTTCTCGACACGTGGGGGTTGGGAGGGGAGGAAAGTCAAGACCTCCCTATTTATAAACATACAAAATGTAGGCTTTATCTACTCTGAAAAAGAAAGGTTTCTCCTAGAATTGCATTTCAATTAAGTGCTGAATTAACCAGTAAATTCTAGGCCAGCGGTCGCCAACCTTTCGGACCTCACGGACTCGGGTGGCAACTGCTGCTCCAGGCAGAACTGTCGGCAAGTGTGGAGGCTCTGCCATGCTTCCTGTTTCTTGGGACTATATGGTGTCTTAGAAGTTAATAGCTACACCTGAAACTAACATAATGTTATAGGTCAGTTATACCTCCACAGAATAGAAAATTAATATCAAAAGTGTCAAGGTCATCACAAACAAAGAATTCACCATGGCCAAATAGCTCAGTTAGTTTCAGGTGTGATGCCCAGTCAGGGCACATACTAGAATCAACCAATAAATGCATAAATAAGTGGAACAACAAATCCATGTTGCTCTCTCTCCCCCTCTCCTTCTCTCTCCCTTCCTCCACCCTTTCCTCTATCTCTAAAAAAAATAAATAAATAATAAATCAATGAATAAAAATGAATTAAAAAAACAACGATAAGGCAAGTCTGTTGCAGCAAAGAAGAGACTAAGATATGAAAACTATAATGTGATATCCTGAATGGAACCCTGGAACAGAAATATACATTAAAGGCTAAGGAAATCTGAATAAACTCAAGACTTTAGTTAATAATAATGTATCAGTATTGGTTTCTTTTAAATATATATATATTTTTTATTGATTTCAGAGAGGAAGGAAGAGGGGAGAGAGAGAAACATCAGTGATGAGAGAGAATCACCGATTGGCTACCTCCTGAACATCCCACACTGGGGGATCAAGCCTGCAACCAGGGCATGTGCCATGACTGGGAATCGAACTGGAGACCTCTTGGTTCCTGGGTGGAGATTCAACCTCTGAGCCACACTGACCAGGCAGTATTGGTTTCTTCATTATGCTGAGTACCATACTAGTGTAAGATGTTAGAAAGAGAGGAAACTAGGTAGAGGGCATATGGAAACTCTCTGCACCATCTTTCCACATTTTTTCTGAAAATCTAAAATCATTCTAAAAAAGAAAAAGTTTATTTAAAACTCTGAAAAAAACAAAAGCTAGTACCATTATCCTACCTAAAATTGGTTGTCACAGAAATGGATTTCTGCAAAGAACTGAAAAAGCAACACCATTCTCATAAGTCCAGGATATGTTTCTTGAAAATTACAAAGGAAAAAAGACCTTTTTAAAAAGTGGACCTAGCATTGAATGCAAATAAAGACCCCCTAGGTATGCTTCCCTGAATGTACCACTGAGTCCTATTATGTAGTCATTTTCATTTTACTTGCTTTGCCCTCTTAAAAAAAAAATAGTACTATCGATAGAACCCCTGCTGGGTGGCTCATTGGCTGGAGGGTCACCCTGTACACCAAAAAGGTTGAGGGTTTGATTCCCAGGCAAGGCACATACCTGAGTTGTGGGTTTGGGCCTGTAGGGGAGGCAACCAATCCATGTTTCTCTCCCACATCAATGTTTCTCTCTTTCTCTCAAATCAGTGGAACATAACAATGACTAGCTGAGGATAAAACAACAACTGATATAGTGCCTGCCTTCTTGGGGTCCACAGACTCTCTGGGCCTCAGTTTCCTTTTATTTATCATGAATTTGTAGATTAAAAAGTTTGATTCTAGAGAGAAAGGGGGAGAGAGAGAGAAACATTTATCAGTTGCCTCCTATATGTGCTCTAACAGGGGAATCGAACCCACAACCTAAGTATGTGCCATGACCCAGAACAGAACCCACAACTTTTTGGTGCATCGAACGACACTCTAACCAACTATGTCCCACCGGCCAGCCAAAACTAAAAATTTTTAAGATCATTTTCAAACGTATCTAGAAGAAACAGTATACCTGAATTCTTCATGCACAGCTTCAATAATGCTCAATATTTGCCTTTTAAAAAATAAACTTTTTAAAAATGTGGTAAAAGTACAGCATTCCTCCCTTATCTGTAGTTTCGCTTTCCACAGTTTCAACTACCCACAGTCAAGCTTGGTCCAAAAATATTAAATGGAAAATTCCAGAAATAAACAATTCATAAGTTTTCAACTTTGCACCCACCTGAGAAGCGTGATAAATCTCTCACCCTCCCACTCTGTCCTGCCCGGCAAGTGAGTCATCCCTTTGTCCAGCGGTATACACTCCCCGCCAGTTAGTCACTTCGGAGCCCTCGGGGTTAACAGGTCACCTAACCTGGCACTGCAGTGCTTGTGTTCAGGTAACCCTGATTTTACTTAATAGTGGCTGCAAAACACAAAGCTGGCGATTTGGAACCGCCAGGGAAGCTGTGAAGCATTTACTGTAAGTGAAAAGGTCAAAGTTCTTGACTTAATCGTTCTGTTGTATTATTCGTTGTTGTTAATCTCTTACTGTGCCTCCCTTATAAATTAAACTTTATCATAGGTACGCAGTAAGTATAGGGAAAAGCACAGTACATATGAGGTTCGGTACTATCTGTGGTTTCGGCATCTGGTGGGGGTCTTGGGACATATCCTCCTCAAGTAAAGGGGGGACTGCAGTATATGTCACATAGAATTTCCTGTCTTGATTTTTAAGTGCACAGTTCAGTAGTGTTAAGTACATTCACACTGTTGTGCAACCAACTTCCAGAAATTAACTAGAGTTCATGATGCGGACCTGCAGAGGAGTGAGGGTCTTAAAGAGCTTTAAACTATTTCATAGACAAAGGTAATTGACTCACTCACAACAGAACCTGTCTGGGTGCCGAATTTTGGAATCTTTTTCCTTTGTTGAAGAAAGGTCTCAGGCTCCACACGGGACCCACGATGTGTGTAACTGCACCCTCAGGACTGCTCTGAAATCTACCACTCATCAAGCTGACTGAGACGATGGGCCTTTCAAGTCGGCTGTCTCTTCAATCAGCTCCCTCACTGAAGGAATTTCAGATCAAGTATAAATCTCTGCAGTAGTACTTCTATATAGAGCCGTGTAATCAAATCTCTTAAAAAAAAAAGACACTCTTTTATTTGTAGAGCTCCACTTCAAGTGAAAATGAAACAATTCAATTCACTGGGCTGCTTTTTGGCAGTCTACCTATAGGTTTCACAAACCGCTTTTCACAGAGGTATCTGGAGAGTTCATCGCCTGGCAGACCTAGTTAACAGGCCACCTGAACCACAGGGCACTCACTGGTTTCCTCTTTCTCTCCCCGATTTACTTGCGGTATGTTGTTAGACTACAGATAAACTTAAAGCGTACTCTAGAAAAGTTTTGCAGCCTACATTCTGACTGTTCAAGCAGCAGCACGTGATATAGAACCAGACTCGGGTCGATTTCAGACCTTATTCAGGACTGTACTATTCTCCTGTAACCAATAAAAAAACAAAACAAAACAAAACTGGCTGCAACCAAAGTGGGTAACAACAGTAAATGCACAGGCCGAAAAAAGATAAGCTTGTCTCCGCTGACACCGATGTTTCCCCTTTTTAAAATCTAATTTTTAGAAATGCTGGTGGTGTTCCATGCCACTTTCTAGTTAAGACCCTTTTCTAGTTAAGGGCAAGACATGGCAGAAATCTTATAGCTCCTTTAAGGGGTACGTATAATAGTTGAAACAATATGGTCCTCATATGTGGCCATCCAATTGCACCCAGGATTCAGAAAAGTGCTGTTTATATACACATAAATACTGAGGCCCAAATTAAATCCACCACCAGGGTCACACGCTGAGCCCAGCTGGCCTGGCTGCAATGGAACCACGCTTCCTAATCCCCGAGTATTTGAAGGCTATAAAAAGCTCCTTGAGGGGCACTTGTTTCCCACAACTCTGAGCTGCCGGGAAGTTAAGACAAGGGCATCTGGAGGCCTTAATGCCCAAACTAGAAAGAGTTAGGCTAACACCCTGATTAGAGATTAACTACTCTGAAAACCTGAAGCATATTTTAAATGCTTACCCTTTCTCACTGCTCTGTGTGCACACACCACCCCAGCCTGCATGAACAGTCATACTGTGAGCTCTCTTGGAGATGCTGTGTACAGTCCATACATGACTGGTCCACAGCGTGCATGGACCCATGTGTTGTGAACAGGGTGGCAAAGTCTGTGTATTCGATGGATGCCCTGGTCTGATCATCCGAAATCCTCCATCCTACTCCCATGCTTCCAGGCGGTTTTCTGTGAGGCAGGGTGAGCCAGGGAGGGGTGGAGTGGGTGAGTGGCTCCGGAAGCGGCCCAGGGCCTGGCGGGAGTCTGGGCTCCCCGCTTCCCACCCATCCCAACGGGGACGAACTCACCTCCAGTTTGTCCGTCAGCTCCTTGTGCATTTGTTCGTACTGCCGGCTCATGTCCTGGTTCTTCTCCAGCAGCGCCTTGCCCAGCCGGGCCGCCAGCACCAGGTCCTTCTCCTTCTGCCGGATCACCGACAGCAGCTCGGGGTCCTGGGCGGGCAGAGGCAGCAGCAGCCCGGCCTCCTCGGCCAGAGGCCCGGGCTCGGCCGGAGGCTGCTCTCCGGGGTCGGACGGCCGTTCCCCGGCCGCCAGCAGCGCCAGCTCCTCCTCTAACGCCAGTTCCAGCTCCCCGGGGCCCCCGGGGAAGGACACCTGGGCGGCGGCGGCGGCGGCTGGACTCCCGTCGGTGGCCGCGGCGGGCAGCTCCATGCAGCAGGCGCTGTCCGGCTCTGCGGGTGCTGAAGCGCGGCCGGCCGAGCCCAGGCAGAAGGCGGACATGGCCCGCGCGCGGAGCCCGCAGCGGTGCGGCCCGGCCGGCGCGCGCCAGGCTGCAGGGGGAGGGGCCCCGCCGCGCCGCCCCGCGCCTCGCCCGCCCGCCCCGCGCCGCGGCACGCGCCCCCCGGGCCCCGCGAGTCCTGGGCGCGGCGCGCGCCGGCCGCCCCTCCCCCGCGCCGGCGGCACGCGCCCTCCGCCCGCCCGCCCCCGGGCTCAGCCGCTCCGCGCGCTGCGGAGGACGGGTGGTCCGGGGAGGCCCCGCGAAGGAAGGCTAGGGCCGCGAGGCGAGGCGAGGTTGCGGGAGGAACGCCGCCGCCTCCGCCGCCGGGTTCTCAGCCGCCCTGTTGCTGTTGCTGTTGTTGCTGCCGCTGCCGCTGCCGCTGCCGCCGCCGGCCGGGCAGCGCCTCACGGGGCCGGCTGCGCTCCGCTGTCGCTTCCACGCGCGCTGCTGCTGCTGCCGGCGGCCACGCTCCGCAGCCGCGCTCCATGTCCCTCCGCGCGGCGGCAGCCCCGGCAGCGGCGGCGGCGGCGGCGGCGGCGGCTGCTCAGGCGCCGAGGCGGCCGCTCCACATCGCGCGCCGCGCAGCCCGCCGAGCTCCTTCCTGCCTTTCGGGGCCCCTCGCGCTCGCCCGGCAGCCGCACCCGCCCCGGGCTTCCGGCCGCGCCCCTGGCCCCGCCCCCGCTGCCGCCTGACGCGCGCGGCACCTGTTCGCCGCGCCGCAGGGTGCGCCGGCGCCTGGGTCTCCGCGGCGGCGCCAGGGGGCGCCGGAGCCGTGACCCCTGCCGTGACCCCTGCGCGGCCTCACGCCCGGGGCGGCGCGCGGGGCGGCCGGCAGCTCCCTGAGGCTTCCCCCGCCTCGGACCCGCGGGGGCCCCGAGGGGCGCTCCGGCCCGTCCAGGTGCGGCCCGGCCTCCAGCGCCCTCAGCGCGGGGTGTGGCCTCGGCCTCGCTCCCCCTGGGGGCGGGGGAGCCTCACAACCTGGGGAGGCTCGGGCGGGGCGCCGCCTCTTCGGAGACGTCCCCGCGGACAGGTGGCCCGGCCCCCGGATGGACGTCCCCGCGGACAGGTGGCCCGGCCCCGGAGGGACGTCCCCGCGGACAGGTGGCCCGGCCCCGGGGAGACGCGATGCCAGCGGTGAGGCCCGCCCCGCGAGGCGGAGCCGTCAGGAGAGGGAGCCCTGGAGGGCGGGAGGAGGGGCTGGCTCGGAAGCCTGCATCTTGATGGTGATGACTCAGTGATGTGAGGGACCAGAACCTCGAAAATAGCCTCTGAAATAAAAAAGAAAGGGATTCTATTGAGAAATAACGAAAAACACCTCTCACTGAGGAGAATATGGAACAAAGGAATGCCCCTAATAATAACTGTGCCTCTGCCGAAACCGGTTTGGCCCAGTGGATAGTGTCGGCCTGTGGACTGAAGGGTCCCAGGTTCGATTCCGGTCAAGGGCATGTACCTTGGTTGTGGGCACATCCCCAGTGGGGTGTGTGTGCAGGAGGCAGCTGGTCCATGTTTCTCTCTCATGGATGTTTCTAGCTCTCTGTCCCTCTCCCTTCCTCTCTGTAAAAAAATCAATAAAATATACTTAAAAATAATAACTTCTGCCTCTGAGCACTGGGTGGGTGCCACGGCAGGTGCTAAGGGATGCATATGCATTATCTTAGGTAACCCTCGCAGGCACCCTAGGAGGTGAGCTCGATCACTCTTCCTATTTTACGGAGGCCTCCTCGTAAAATCGAGGCCCGTGGTCGCGCAGGTAATTGCACCAGGATCCGGTCCAGACAGGTTGGCCGGGGTTACTTCCTCACAATGAGGTCCGGAGGAAGGTGGTGGTGAGGACCGATGCCCGCGGGGATCAGAAGGAAGACTGAGCCCACTAGCTGGTGCTGGTCGGTCCTTGCTCTGACCTCATTGGTGATGCTCCGTCTCCTATTTCCAGAAACTGCCCTTTCTGAAGGACAGCATCCCATTTTTTCTTAGATCATGGCTTGATTCTTTCCCCGCAGTGGGATGAGAATTTCAGGACAAGAGGCCAAAATGGGTCAAACGTTTCTCCTGGCTTTTATTTCTTATTAAATTCAGGGCCCCACCATATTCAGGCCTATGCACCACTTTCTACCCTGGGGCTACAGGGGAGAATCTGAAAGGCCTCGAGCTTTAGGGCTTGCTTTGTTCACTTGTTGCCTGGAAGGGAGAGAGACAAGACGGGTCCCACATCAATGTTAGAGCTCAGTTTGGCAATTCCCCTTTGTCTCTTTTTGCCAGGAAAGAACATGTTTCTCCCTAATCTATTTAGAAACAGAATTTCTAATCCAGAGGGGTTTTGGCTGTTTATTTTTCCTTGATCCAGACTTACAGCCCATCTTTCCAAAAAGGTGTTTGGCCTGCCCTTTTTTGTAAAATAATAATAATAATAATAATAATAATTTTATATATATATATTATTGATTTTTTTACAGAGAGGAAGGGAAAAGGATAGAAGGTGAGGAACATGGATGAGAGAGAAACATTGATCAGCTGCCCCCTACTAGGGATGTACCTGCAACCAAGGTACATGCCCTTGACTGGAATCAAACCTGGAACCCTTCAGTCCTCATGCCTACGCTCTAGCCACTGAGCCAAACCGGTTAGGGCTGGTCTGCCCCTTCTTGAATTCAGTGGTCCTGCTCCATTAGACTGACCTGTTACTGAGAGAACGTCCCCCAGCGCTAACTAGCTCACAGGGCTCCACTGCTGACCTGGCCAGGAAGTGGTCATTTCCTACTGGACAGGTTTGCCTTCAGCGCTGTCTCCCTGTGAGTAATCAGAAGAGACCAGCCCAAGATTGGAGAACTATTTTTTAAAGAAATATATTTTATTGATTTTTTACAGAGAAGAAGGGAGAGAGAGAGCTAGAAACGTCGATGAGAGAGAAACATCGACCAGCTGCCTCCTGCACACCCCCCACCAGGGATGTGCCCACAACCAACGTACATGCCCCTGACCGGAATCGAACCTGGGACCTTTCAGTCCGCAGACCAACGCTCTACCACTGAGCCAAACCGGCTTCGGCTGGAGAATTATTTAGAATAGTGGTTCTTATACATTTTGGTCTCAGAACCTCTTTACACTCTTAAAAATTATTGAAGATTCCAAAAACTTTTAGTTTGGATAGATTTAGATACTGATATTTACCATATTAAACCTTAACTGAAAACATTTATTATTTCATTTAAAAATACTTATAATAAACCTATTACATATTAACATCATGTGTTTTAGTAAAAAAAAAAAATCATTATGCAGTCCCAAATTTAAAAAGAATGAGAAGACTGGCATTATTATTATTATTATTATTATTTTAAACACTTTTTATTTATTATTTATTTATTCATTTTTACATATATTTTTTTTTTTGCTCCTCTCCCTCCCACACATCCCCTCCCTCCCCAGAGCATTATTATTATTTTGTTGTTAATCCTCACCCGAGGATATTTTTCCCATTGATTTTGGAGAGAATGGAAGGGAGGAGGAGAGACACAAAGAGAGAGACATTGATATGAGAAAGAAACATCCAGCGGTTGCCTCCCATACCCATCCCAACTGGGGATCGAACCTGCAACCTTTTGGGGAAGGGGACGATGCTCCAACCAACTGAGCTACCTGGCTAGAGCATTAGGCACATTCTTAAGGGAAACTAGCTTTATTTTTTCCCTCTTTGGTAGCACATGGCAGTGAAGAATAACATTCCCACCAATGCATGTTGGTCCCACTGCTTTGATTCATGCTAAGGTTTCTGTAGTATTGCCCACCATTGCTTTGGCACCATCAGTACAAATGTCAACAGTGAAAAATGAAAATGGTATTAGACCATTAATATTTTAAAATTAGTTATACTATTATTTTTAAAAATATATTTTATTGATTTTTTTATAGAGAGGAAGGGAGAGAGATAGAGTTAGAAACATCGATCAACTGCTTCCTACACACCTCCAACTAGGGATGTGCCCTTTGGCAACCAAAGTACATGCCCTTGACCGGAATTGAACCTGGGACCTTTCAGTCTGCAGGCTGACACTATCCACTGAGCCAAACTGGTTGGGCTAGTTATACTATTATTAATAAAATTATGAAAATAGTGTTCACTTTATAGATTTTAAGAAAGGGTCTTTGGGACTTTCAGGAGTTTGTAAACCACAGTTTGAGAACTGTTGATTTAGAACCATTTAAGACCATTAGGTCAGACTTGAGATAAGAAGAATAAATAAGTACCTGCCAATATAGAAATTAGTGCCAGAATTTAAAACTCACCAAAGCAAAGCTTATTGTTAAGTTTATTCTGCTTCATGCTAGAATAATATTAGCTAAAATATATTTAGCTGTACATTCCTTATATCCTTTATATGACATCTCATTTAATCCTCACAATAACCTATATTGTTAATATGTAATCCCAATATATATACTACTTGATACTATGATGCTAGTCTAGTGCTTTATGCCTGACTGACTATTTACTAGAGGCCCAGGGCACAAATTCATGCACAGGTGGGCGGATCAGAGCAGGGCCTGTCAGTAGGAGGTTGGCTGGCCAGCCCCACCCCCAATGGGACAGGTTCGCTGACTGCAGTGGGCATCATAGCAACCAGTGGTTACAGCGTTCTGGTTGCTGGCTTTAGATAGATAGATAGATAGATAGATAGATAGATAGATAGATAGATAGATTAATATGTATTTTTATTGATTTCAGAGAGAAAGGGAGAAGGAGAGATTGAAACATCAATGAGAGAATAACATGAATCGGCTGCCTCTTGCACACCCCTACTGGCGATAGAGCCCACAACCTGGGCATGTGCCCTTGACCTGAATTGAACCCAGGACCCTTCAGTCTGCAGGCTGATGTTCTATCTGTTGAGCCAAACCACCTAGGGCCTGACTCACTCTTAATTACTATATCTCACTTGACATTTTTAATATTTATATATTCCTTTAAATATATTTGTATTAGTTTTGCTGTTGGTACCTGGATATTCTGGTTGAACTTGGATATGACTGACCTTAGATTTCTACTATGGATGGAAATTTTCCTTCTAAGAAATCCTATTTCCAAATATGGCAACACTCATTGAATTTCCCCAAGTTGTTTTATTAACATCTTGATCTGCA